CTATCATGGGAATTGCTCTGTAGACTAGGCTAGTCTTGACCTCATAGAAGTCTGCGACTAGAGTACTGGGATCAAACGTGGGTGTCACTAAATCAGCCTTATTATTTTTTTAAGTTGTGAATCAAAAAGGTAGGAGGGACTGGAGAGTTCGTTCAGTGGTTAGGCACACTGGCTGCATGTCCAGAGAATCGGAATTTAATTCCCAGGGCTCACATGGTAGCTGATGCCCTCTTGTGGTGTGCAGAGGAACATCAGAAAGAGCACTAACACATTTGTTTAAGGAGAAAAAGACAGGAGGAAGGACTTGGCTAAGGCTGAGTTCAATCTCTAACACCAGGTAATAGAAGGAAGACTACATAGTGAGACCCTGTTTCATCCTCACTACCTGAGACTTATTGAGACAAGGTCTCCCTTATTACATTGCCCAGGTCAGTCTTAATTTTGTAGTTCTCCAGCTGCAGTCTGTTTGGGATTTCAGATTATACAATTACTGCCACGATATTTACTCAGGAAAATTTTTCATTGAACTTTATTAGCTAGTGACCTTCACACTTTCTTGCATTGTTAGAATAAAGAAAAAAAATCACAGGTACAGCCACTATTTTACATTATTAAATAAGAGATGGCTCAGTGGTTAAAAGCACTGAATGCTCTTCCAAAGGATCCACATTTAATTCCCAGCACCCACGTGGCACTCACAAGTGTATGTAACTCCAGGAACACCTCACACAGACATGCATGCAGACAAAACACCAGTGCACACAAAACAGAAAATAAATCATTTAGATGTTTGTCTAGCTCTTATTTTATGTTGTCATCACAGATACAAATTCTTTTTAAACAAAGTTTATCTTAAAGTTAGTGCCAGATCCAGGATCTCTCCAAATCTGTGTATGACTTTAACAACATATGTTAGAAGTGTTTTGTGGGTTTGTTTGTTTTAATGGGACTTAAGGAGGATTTAAAGCCCTTTTTACTCAAGAGAATGTTGTGACAGGTTTCTTTTTTTTTCCTTTATTTTAGGTCATCTGGAGAAGAGAGAGAGGCTGAACTATCTCTGAAGGAGTCACCACTAGATAACTAAGTTGGCAGATGTGGGATGTAAAGAATATGGGAAGTCTGTTGTGAGTGGCTTCATTTGAAATTCTTAGGCTGCTGAAAGGGTTCAATTTTTTATAAGGATAGGTTTTGATGTTTAAGTAGTTTGGGGAAGAAAATCCCTTTATGTTTGTGTAAAAGTAAAAGTTATTACTAATTTTCCATGTGCAGTATTAAGAGCTCCATCCAGTTCCAGTGTGAGGGAACCCTACTTAGAAAGGTTTGCCTGCTGTGTAGACATGACTGGTGTATTTGATTAGTGTGTGTGTTCATGTGTAACTGGTACTAGGCCAGTTACATTCTAAAACTACTACTTGTATTAGTTGTTCCTTTTCTCCCAAATACTGTGGGTTTTGTGCATAGTTTTTACAAATCTTGGATTTACCAGACTGTCTTTTCGCCCTTTGTGGGTTTTTTATTAGAAGTTGAGCATTTTTATGGTTGATAAAATGAATGTTACTTCTAAGCACTCACTCCTTTTTATCACAAGTTAACTTTAACCTCAGTCTATTGTGCTGCATTAACTTGCCTCTTTGTAATAATGTGTAGTCTGTATGACCACTAGATGTCCAACTGATTGTTCTAGAAGGTACAAATTTGTTAACTTTTGAAAGTAATTTAGTTTTAGGGCTGGGGATTCAGTGGAGTCAGAACTAAAGAGAACAGACTGGGTATATACAGGAAGTTCATCTACAATCCTTTATATCTACTAGTCACAACAACCTAAAACTAGTTTGTTTTAAATCTTATACTTATTAAGGTCACACATTAAGGTGCCTGTGGGTTTTTTGTTTTGTTTTTTAATCATAATCACTCCATGATGCTTATAAGTGGTAAATATAAATAAGAAAACTAACCTAATTGAAAACAGGGCCATATTAGAATGGGATTGGTATTTAATTTCAGACATCACAGGATTACAAAAATAAAAGGTAGAAACATCAGTTGTTCCAAGGTAGTAACTAGATAGTCTGTACACATAAATGTAGACTATCTCAGAGTCTGTTAAATTAAGGAATAGCATTTCAAAGGTATTCTGAGTAATCACGTCAGTTATTGGTTTCCAGTAGCAAGAAAGGTTCATCACTATGCTTTGAAATTTAATGGGAAAGTGACTTAATACCAGTGTTTGTGTTTGGTATGATTATATATGATCTTGATTTCTCAGATAATTATTTTCACTTATGTAAAGGACTTTTAATTAATAATTGGACTTTTGCTCTTACAATTGAACTACGGTTTTGGGCAAATGCTGTACATTATATATACACCAGTCTTCTGTTTTGTCCTTAGTACATTTTTAACTTGGACAAAAATTATTCTAGTTAAGCCATAAGTGTCAAATGTGTAAACTTGTTTTAATTAAAGTTTTTTCTACCAAGCTCTATTAGTAAATTATTATTGCTGCTAATTGAGAAGAGTTACTGAAAAAAATTCTAGATTTCCTGCTAAGGAAGTAGTGTCCTCCTTAGCCTTTGCTGAGATCCTGTTAGTAGTAACCTCAGGAAAGCACTGTCACTTGCCTGGTGTTGACTTCCCTAAGCACAGGCATTACACTTCATGAAGAAGCTATAGAATATCCAACCTCAGAATGTTAGCAGAACTCTTCTAGTTTATGTACCTTCTTGGATGGGCTGTCTTGCTTTGACCATGTATGTTCTTTTGAAGCACAGCTGCCTTTTTCATCTTGGAATTGTCTGTCATAGGCTAGTTCACAGGCAAGCTATGACTCTCTAAATTCTGTAAATAAAAATTATTTAGTTAAAACTACAGCTGAACTAAGATCTATTCAGTGTGATAGCCACCTCTCCCACTGTGTATAGAATGCATGTGTAGTATGCATGTATGGATACCTATTTTGAATGTTAGTTTTCTCAGCTGTTTGCATCAATTTCAGATGTCCCACCTTAATGAGAAATTCTAAGAATTCTATAGCATAATAGATTTAAGTTCCTATTAATATCCACTTACCTGCTAAAAATGCCAGGTGAAGATGGAGTCTGCTATCTACTCCTGTATGCAGATCAAAGGCTTCAGTAACAAACTTTATTCCATTGGTCAGAGAATAAACTATCTACTGCTATTAGCAAAATTGTAGCTTGAGACCCTTAAGAAATGAAGAGGTTACTAAAAAATGTACTTAAATCTGTGTTGTGCAATTGACTAACAAATACTAGGGATGATTACTCCTGCTGTAAAATTATAAGGTATAATTATCCTTAAAAGAATTGTGAAGCATAAGCAAGATGCTTAAGGAAACAGCTATTTTCTATACAGTGATCTTTTGCGGGTATATATCCACAGGAATGCTCACTGATAAAAGTTATGCCATACATAATTACCTCTGTCCTTAAAGTGACACATGAACTTTATTGTGTTGTACTTAAGAAATTGCTAATGGCATAAAGAAAAACTCAAGGGCTTTAGAGCTTGTAAATATAAATTTGAAATTCTTTTATGTAAAATAGTTGGGATACCTATATAATTGATAATTGCAGTAACCTGGTTAGCGTTTCCTCATTTCCACCATCAAAGAAATGGAAGGTATGTGAACTTTTGGTAAAAAGAAGTAGAATAGCATTCTTAATAAATAATATGGTTTATCTGGTATCAGTCATCTTTGTCTATTACGCATTAGGGATAACTAATTTCCTGGAATTTACTTTGTAAGAGTATGAACATTAGTGCAATACCCACATGAACTGCCATATTACTCTAGGAATTGAGAAAATCATTCATTCATTATGATAGAATGATTCTGTAGCAGTGTATTTAATATTAACTAACACCATTCAGTACAGAAAAGAAATTTAGGTGCATTGTAAGTTTGCCCTGGCGAGTAGATGGTGCCCTGTGTTGGCACTAAACAACAATACCCTAGACATACCACATGCAGGCACTTGTCATCTCCATGTCAGTCACCAGGATTGGATTTGTGACATTTCAGTCCATGAAACATGCTTCACACTTCACCTTCTTTTAAACTTCACAATCTTTAAAGAGATGTGTAGGCTTCATTGGTTTATTTATAAGGTAATTATCTGTTCTTAGGCATCTAGAGAAGATTCAGCTGAATTTCAATTAAACCTAGGACAGAGAAAGTAATGGTTAAAAGTCTATTTTATGTTATTATAAGAAAATGTTCATTTTCTATCCCAAAAGTTTCCACGAAGTATTCTGATAGAATTTGCTTAGCAGTTTTCTTTTTTCTGTATTGTTACAGCAAGGGGACAGAAGAATGGAGGCGCTGAGCTGGAAAACTTTTCTTTCTCTCACTAATTTTTACATGCTAAAAATTAAGTGAGCCATGGAATGTAAAATCTGTTATTTTCTTCAGCCATGACCTTAAATGACATTTTAAATTCAATGTATTTGTGATTCCAAGAAATGGGCTTCACTTTAATGCTATGAACTTTTTAAATACATTGTAGTCTTATGTACCTAGTGTCTACCTTAAAAAATATCACGAGTCCCAAATTAAATTATAGCTACTCCTATTTCTGTTGATTACCGATAATTTGTTTTTTGTTTTTCGAGACAGGGTTTCTCTGTATTGTTTTGGAGGCTGTCCTGGAACTCATTCTGTAGACCAGGCTGACCTCAAACTCACAGAGATCCACCTGCCTCTGCCTCCCAAGTGCTGGGATTAAAGGCGAGCACCACCAACGCCTGGCCCGATAATTTGTTTTTAATCTCTCCTTATTGCAAATATTTGAAGGTTCTTTACCTTGATAGTTTCATAGCAGGAGGTGTAGCTCTTACATCCTTCAAAGATTTCTTTAAAAAGATTATTAGATTTGATGTATTTATTGTTAATTGTACTCTATTAAACTGAAGTCCATCATTAGCCAAACCCATTTGTGTGTACAGAATGTATAGGACTCGGAGAAAAGAATCAGAAATTGTGTTTCCAACAAGGTTTATATATTCAGAATACAAAAAAACATTTCAGCATCTCAGTAACTAACATAAGCAACTTAAATAAAAAGCCACAATAATAACAAAAACACTGTGTAATAAGTACAAAATATGTTAAACTAAACTTTAGTAGGGAGAAAGATTTTTTTCTTTTCTTTTTTGGTGGTACTAATTAAAGGTTCCTGGATCAACATAAGGATAAGCAAGGAATTCCCCCAGCTTGTTGCCTTCGGAATCATAATGGAGCATTCTGAAGCAAACATCACAAAAGAAACATGGATCCTCTGGTGCAAAGGTGTCGTTGTTCGTCACCCATCTGTAGTTTAAAAAAAAGTATATGTTATATTACAACTAGATTTTTTTTTATGCTTCAACATTCTGATTTATGGCCTATAGCAGTAGTTCTCAACCTGTGGGTCAGGACCCCTTGGGGTGTTGTTGAATGACTTTCAGAGATTGCATATCAGATATGATTCATAACAGTAACAAAATTACTACATTAGCAACAGGAATTTTATGGTTGGGAATCACCACAACATGAGGAACCTACTACTGCCTCAACATACAACAGGAAATGCTCCCTGTGACACAGTGACTGATCAGATGAAAAACTGAGAAGAAATGTAAATGACAGCCAAGCAGAGAGCATGGCTCCTTGAAGTTTGTTCATGCGTACATTTCCTTGTTTTAAAAGTATAGGTTGTAGCCTCGTGCTGTACACATGCTGGCTAACAGGCAATAGTAGGCTTTGGGTTCGATCCCTTGTACAGAACTGCACTAACATTGCAACATCGATAAAGCTCTGCAACCCCAAACTGAAAGCAGGTAGCCCAAGTACTAAGGTGAAAACCAGTGCTTGTTAAACAGGAAAGAAAGCTGTCACTCACCTAGCTGTATACATCTTGCAAACAAAACATTTTCTGGTCCATAGCCAATGCTTCTTGGTAAGAAGGGGATAAAGTGTTCTATCCAAGCAGTCATCATGATGTACAAGCCTTTCATGAGGGAAACAGATGAAGATATTGAAATGCAAACCCTATTCCTGTTCCCCAACATTAGGAACAGGGTTTGACCTTCCATTTTTTGCTCACAAATGATTTCAGTAAACTGATTTCTTATACTTGGGTTAAGTAAAATACCTAACCCCATACTAGGGATATAAGTTAGTGCCAGAGCTCTTGCCTAGCTTACTAAAGGGCAGTCAGTTGTGCTTTTTGGATTGAACAAGGAATTAATTCTCAACTTCCCTTATGCTAACATGCTGTGACAGTATATTTTTTCAAATATATAATATATATATATGTATATATATATATAAAATCAGAGTCTTGCTCTTTAACACAGCATTGTATAAGCAAGGCTTCCTGGTGATACCTTATATTAATTTGCTGTTACTTTCTCATTATTAGAAACCAAGATTTGGATCCTTAAATGCCATGAATTAGATGTTAAATGTCAGAACTATAAAAAAAATTTAAGTATCACTAACTAGCTGCTTGGCCTTGGATAAATTATAATCCACCACAAACATACTCATACTTCTAATCTCAGTACTTGTGAGGAAGAGACAGGAAGACCAGGTTTTTAAGTTATGTATGTCTGTGTACCACCTGCCTTCCTTGTGCCACAGAAGCTAGAAAATGAAGCTAGAAAATGGTGTTGGGTTACAGATGGTTGTGAGCCATCATGCGAGTACTGACAATCAAACCCAGGCCTGCTGGAGGAACAGCCTGTGCTCTTAACCACTGACGAGCAATCCTTTCAATCCCGGAGTTTAAGCTTAGCTACACAGCAAGGTTGAGGACAGCCTGGGCTATGTGAAACAAAATCTGTCTCCAAAAAAAAAAGAAAAAGTGTAGGCTTTTAATTTTGTAAAGGTTAGCAAAGATAAATATACTATGAATAGGTTCTAAAGGTTATAAAATATGAAGTTTTGAGGTCTTACCTTTATATTCTTAATCTCCAGAAAACTACTGTGTGTCTGAGGAAGGTGTGCATGAGGGTCCCTGAAGAGTACAGGGTACCACTCTGCCTTACTGCCTTGAGACACGAGCTAGACTAGACTAGCAGTCCCAGTGGTTTTTCTGTCATCACCCACCACAGCACTAGAGTTACAGGTATGCAAGGCCATGCTTGGCTTTTCTTACATGTTCTTGAGATTGGAACTGGATCCTTGTACTTACTTAACGAGCGCTCTTAACCACCAAGCCATTTTCTTAGCCCCTCAAGCCTAAAACCATTATTTTGGAATTTAGTTACTTAACTTCCCATTGTAGAATTACTGTTTTTGATTAAATTGAGATAACTTAAAATTATGAAATTTTAATCTTCCAATACATACTTTCTTATATATTTCTAATATATATTTTGTTTTTATTTATAGATAGTCTGTTATTAAATAGTTCTGGCTGACCTGGAATTCACAGAAATCTCAAGTGCTGGCCTGCAGTATCATCTAGTCTAGATTTTCAAAAAAATGAACAATATAGTGTGTCTACTTCCTGCTGCACGGAAAGCAGAGGTTCGCTGCTCCCAAGCCAAGCCATAGTGATAACCCTTTAATTCTCTGAACTTCAGTTATTTATGCTTTTGTACAGAAATAGTTATTGAGGTGTCTTGGTGGGTAAACGTGCTTACTGTCAAGTTTGATGACTTCAGTTCAATCCCTACAACCTACATGGAAGGACAGACTCCTGCAAGTTGACATTTGACCTCCACACTCCTGCTATAGCGTGTGTCCTTCCCCCTCCCCAATTAAGGACATTGTTAAGATAAAGTATTCTGAGCGATGCCACATACCTTATGTCTGTAATAACAACCACATGTTCACAATCTCCCTGGTGACAGTATAAGTAAGGAAAGCCAAGTTTAATGTTCAAGTCATTAAATGTGAAATCTTCCATCCTAGCAGTCTGAAATTTTCCATATCCTCGATCATGGGACTCTGACCATTCTATAATAGTTCTGTTTTGGGGATAAGGTAAGGGACAAAGCATTATTATTAAAATTCGAACAGGAAAGAAAAGAGTTCATACCTGCAGTATTTCACACCATCTGGCCTCCTAATTAAATGGACGGTGACCATCTAAGATCATGGTGGTTAATAAATTCTTGGATCAGGACAGTGAATTGGAACTAGTAGGTAACACACAGCATTGGTCACCAAACCTGATGACCCGGGTGCAATCTGTGCAATCCCCACAATCCGCACTGGAAGGAGAAGACTAACTCCTACCAGTTTTTCTCTGCTCATATGTGTGCCATGGTACAAACCAAACACCCAAGCTTCCACAGAGTTAAAAAGTTAAAGGGGATGGGAATGTGCAGGAAGATTAGACACTGAACTTTTCATCTACCTGAGTAACAGTTCTTTTTTATTCTTGGGTTCTTTTTTATTCTTGGGTTTTGTAAACTGAGGAAGGGTCTCATTATATAATCCTGGCTGTCCTGGAACTCATTATGTATACCAACCAGGATTGCCTCAAAGTCATGGAGATCCACTTCTGCCCTTTCCATCTCAGAAAGGACCAGTTTTTTGGTGGGAGGCTGTGTGACATGTACCACTTTAGCACAAACAAGAAATGTTAATGCCACATTTTGTTAATTTTGGTAACAGATTTTATTGTTTTTTACTAAAAAGCAGTGAGATCAGAATGTTTCCAATTCTAATTAACATGCTTCGGTGACAGTAACCGTGGCGGACAAATGTAATCCCAGCACTCTGGAGGCAGAGGCAGGTGCATCTATGAGTTAGATGCCAGCCTGGTCTACTGAGTAAATTCCAGGACAGCCTGGGCTACACAGAGAAACCCTGTCTTGAAAAACCAGGAAGAAATATTCTGATCATAAGTACTGATAGCTGTGACCCACAGATACTACAGCTCTTTGGGGCACTCAATTATTTTTATTAAGAATTGACAGCAAGGGCTGAAAACTACATTTAAAAAAGGGTAAAGCTGAAACCAGTACATGGGAGGCTGTGTGGCCACTGATAATGAAATAAAGTGCTAAAGAAATTCTATTAGAATTGAATTTAATATGCTTCTACCTGAGCAACATAACACACATGTCCATCTGTTACCAACAAAGGGCAAACAATAGAGAGAATTCTCTAGCTCCAAGGACCCAGGTTCCTTTTCTGGCTCTGCCACCAGCTGTACTCACAAGCACATAGAGTTCCTCCCGCCTTATAATTATCTTGAGAACAGAAGAAAAAATACTGAAGGATTAGCATTATCACCTCAGATTAATAACCAGTACCTTAGTGGACCTAATCTTTTTAAAAGTACATGCCATTCAATGCAAACTTTATACAATTCCTGGGGGCGGGGGTCCTTAAAAGACTTCACTAATTTAAGAGCTAGAAATAAACTGGGCATGGTGGTGGACGCCTTTAACACCAGCACTCAAGAGACAGAGGCAGGTGGATTTCTGGGAGTTCGAGGACAGCAAGTTCCAGGATAGCCAGGGTGACATGCAGAAACCCTGTCTAGGAAAAACAAAAAATTTATAGAAATAAACATTTGTATGGTTGGGTGTGGTAGTGCATGCTTTTAGTTTCAGCTCTTGGGGGGGACAGAGGCAGGAGGATCACTGAGGTTCAGGGCTACATAGTGAGGCCCTTCTCAAAAGAACAGAAGCCAACAGGAAGAGAAGATTTTTGTGACCCGTACCTGCTTAAGTCTCTGCATTCCGGGTATCTTTTGTCATTGTAAAAGGTTCCCTCAAAATAAAAAAAAGCTGACTTGTACAGGTCCTACAAGAAAACAGATGGTATTGAATGAAAGTCCATTTGTAACCATTCAAAATTTATACACCATAAAATCACATGAAATACCCACCAACTTATGTTTGGGGGCCTCTCTGTTGTCAAAGCTGTTAATTAAAGTCTTGCTTACCTGCTCTTACCACACACACACACAAGAGAGCGGTGGCTCTTTTCAGTTTTATCCTGTTGTTGTTCAATCATAGACTTGATTAAACGTGTGTTCTGAGACTCAAGAAAGGAACCCAAGTTGATTGTAGTCAGCTTCATTGTTCATTTACTATGTGCAGCCTATACTAAGTGATTTTTGTGTCAGAACTAGAAACTCAACATATCTTTGATGCTTCCCTAATAATGACAAAGATCTCTTAGTTGTTTTTCTGGCATTTCTTGTTTTTCAGTGTTTTTACAAATTTTTCTATTTTCAGTAACTCTTAGAGCATGATTTTGTTTTGTTTTGTTTTTTTGAGACAGGGTTTTCTCTGTATCATTGCCACTGTCCTAGAACAGGCTGGTCTTCAATTCAGAGCCTGATCCTGAGTGCCGAGATTAAAGGCATGCACCACCGGGATTTCTGTTCTTAATCGATCTTGCCCCATGTAACATAGTAGGCACGAGTGGTCTCAATCCTGAGGCTCTGAATCATACCACAAGACTTCAAGGGGGTAGCCATGATCCTCACTGCAGTAGTCACTGAATCCTCAGGGTGTAGTGCGTAATTAAGGTACAATGTATTTAATGTCCCACCTGGCAGCTAGGACATAAACCTGTCCCTTAGTATGCTTCTGAAGTAGTCAGAACTGTGAACTAAAATCTAAAATAAAGGTTCAAGGGCCAGGGTGATGATGGCTTGATGGCTTGGGAGGTAAAGTGATTGCTGCTAAGCTGAGGAACCTAAGTTTGATTCCTGGCCCTCAAGGTTGAAGCACAGAGCTCAGTCTCACAGTCTGTCTGTGGACCCCATACATGGGCCATGGCACACACTTGCCTACACAAATAAGGCTTTTCTTTTTTTTTTAAACTTGGCTTTTTGAAACAGGGTTTCTCCGTGTAGCCCTGACTGGCCTTGAACCTAGAGATCTACCTAGAGATTAAACGACATAATACCATCATTCAGAAGGCTGAAGGAGGCAGACTGCTGTGAGTTTGATGCCAGTCTTGGCTATATAGTGAGTTCCAAGTCAGGCTAGGCTACAGAGTGAGACCCTGCCTTAAAACAAGCAAATGTTCCATATATGTACGTATTTGTTCATATAACACTGGTATAAAATTCCATCAGAAGTGACTTGTGAATGCCTTCTCACATTATTGCTTATTTACAAAACAACTCTAAAAGAACAATTATTACCTGGTAATAACTTCTCACTGTACAAACAGCATACAAACAGGCTTAAGGTGCAATCCCAGTACTTGTGAAATTGAGGCAAAAGAATCACAGGTGTCAAGCCAGTCAGGATACATTGGAAGACAGTGTATTTGATACTTGGTCAGAAAATACTACCACTATTTACATGTTTTAAAAATACAGTTCCATTCTAAAAACAACAGCAGCAATAATAATAAACTCCAAACATTAGCAAATCCTTTTTCTGCCTTTAAGCTACAGGGACTTAAATGTACTGGAGTCACCTAAGTTCAGCCACATTGGCAATGACTTTAACAGTCCAGCTCGCCGTAAATGCAGCAGCCCCTGTAAAACTGTCCACAACTGCCAGTGCAATACATGCCGTGGAACCAACAAAAAATCAACTCGGGAATACTTTCACTTTTCCTTGGTGTACAATGGTGTTAACATACAAAATGACCTTGGTAAAAAGCTGAGAACTACTAAGCATAAGTTAATGAATACGTGAAGTTCATTATAGTAGTCTCCATATTGATTATATGTTTGAAATTTTTCCTTACAAATGAGGGGAAAAATGAACACTGTGAAATATGAATATCAGCCGGGGGGGGGGGTGACGCACGCCTTTAATCCCAGCATTTGGGATGCAGAGGCAGGTGAACCTCTGTGAATTCAAGGCCAGCCTGGTATACATAGTGAGTTCTAGAACAGCCAGGGCTATGTAGAGACCCTGTCACAAAAAACCAGTAACAACAACAAAAAGATGTTAGGTTTAATCAATACCTCATTTATAGGTTACGTGCCCTTGTAAATGCTTTAAACTTCATAAAATTTCTAAAACATCGCTGAAGAACAAGAAACAAAGCAGGTTTCTGAACAGATGAACATTCCACAAAGGCCTGTGCTGGAAGCCGGCTGGTGAAGTTTAATCACTGTTGTTCAGTGCCTGCTCACCAGCAATCAGCAGTCATCCACAGCCAGCAGCAGGGCTTTGAGGGAACAGCACAGATCTGACCTCAGCCTGTCACTGCTTGCTGAATTCTCTTGCTGACTGCTCTTTTTCTTTCCAAGGCCAGCATATACTGGGCACATGGTGTGAGCTTGATGATCAGGTTATTTAGCAGACAAAAGCAGAAAGAAATATATAGTAGCATAAGTCAGGGAGCCAGACAGATGGCCAGTGGTTTGGAGCATTTACTGTTTGCCAGAGAATCTGGTTTCATCCCCAGCACCCACATGGCAGCTCACAGCCCACATGGAAGCACACAAGCATCCTAACTCCACTTCCAGGGTCCAGTGCCCTCTTCTAACTGCCTCAGGTACTGCATACATGTGGTACACAGACATTGCAAGTTGGTAAAACACCCATACAAATAAAATTTAAGAAATGTAAATAAGACAATAAACTATTTAGTCCCTGCTTAGAAAACTGAAGGGTTTAGCACTACAGTACAAATTCTATAAACTGACTAGTCCCGTTGACCAGGAATGATTGGCATATCTGACTCAAACTGTTCTCACCAAAGCTGACAGGTTGGTACAAAGAGGGTAAATTCAGATTAATTAATCCTTTTTGTTTTTAAAGAGAGAGAAAAAAAAAAACTATGTAGCCTCAGCTGTCCTGGAATTTGCTATGTAGGCAGGCAAATTTCTATGAGTTAGTGGCCAGACTGGTCTACAAAGTAAGTTCCAGAAGAGGCCCCAAAGCTATACAGAGAAATCCTGGAAACCCCTGTCTTGAGAAACCAAAAAACAAAACAAAACAAAGAAAGAAAAAAAAAAGAAGAAAACTTGCAAAAGACCAGTTTTTCTTCCTTGAAAAAAAGGTAAACCTATTGCCTTAAAAGTCCATTTGTTTCTATCATTGAAGTTATGGCAATTTGGAAGAGATTAAGTACTTAAAGCCATTTTCAACATAACCACATACATTTAGTGTAATCTCTGCCTAAGCTATGATGCTCATCTCCATATCAGTCACTAGAACACTGAGTTTATAAGGCAAATAGACACAGACAGCACCAGGATATCCTAATGTGCACTGTGACAGACATGAAAGCCTGGAACCGAGTTTCAAGTATGACTATGGAACCTCCAGATGCATGGTAAGATGCTTCTTCCCACACCATATACTCAAATCAGGAAGATGGAACTCATGAAGACACAAATTCACTGTGTGAAACCTCACTGGATATTAACATGGGACTCAAAAAAAGATCAATGAAACAGAAATGTACATGGCTGTTGGAAAAAGGAGATTGACTTTTGATTCTTCTTCTCCAAGTTCTAACTTTATTCTACTTGTTTCAGATGTCATTTTATGTGCCTGCAGAGATACCCTCTCCTCAGTAGGCAAGTATATGCAGGGTCCTCTGCTAACGTTGCATCACGTAACAAACAGAGCAATCTTTCTCTGTCATGAGATTCAGCAAGATCGGGTTGTTCTCTTTGCTTAGGGAAACACTCCCTCACTTCTGAAAATGTTTTGGGCAGTCCACCTGATACTTTGCTCCCCTCCAAGAGGTACATGGGCATTTCTGTCTCATGAAGGGTGCCATTACCAGGAAACACCTGCAAAGATCAGCTCTCCACCATCTATCTCCCTGTCTCATATTGGCCTGTGTACTTACTGACTACAAGCAGTGAAGAACGGATACAAATGACTGAGGCTTTTGGCAGTCTGCAAACTTTTCCTGGAGGTGGTTAAGGTGGACTGAAAATCTTACAGCATTTTACATAGAAAAGGTTGAAGAACAAAATGAAAGCAACAACAAGGCTGGGGCTATAGCTCACTGGAGAGTGCTTCCTTAGTTTAATCCTAGGACTAAGTAAAGGCAAATAAATGAGGGTGAAGTCTGACTGTAGGGAAAAGAAAAAGAGAATGCAACTGGCCAGACAGCTGGACGGTGTTGGCTCAGGAGGAGGAGCACCACAGAACAGCTGTAAATGGTGAGCACTGAGGAAATGAACACAACAATGTCTCTGAAAAGCTCGAGGATGGCAGGAGGAGAGATGGCAGCACCTTAGTACCATGAGAACATGCAGTTAACGCTCATGACCCAGCTGGAGTAATCACACACGGCTCCCTTTACGTGCTGTTTTCTTCTAAGGGGAAGGAGAAGTCACTCACTTTACGTGCGGTTCTCTTCTAAGGGGAAGGGAAAAGTCACTCACTTTACTGATGTGCTCAGGCGCTTGGTCTGGAGTACTGCTGAATTCTCCACCAATCTGGAGATCGCTGACACAGCAAATTGAGTCCCTCAGTTCTGTGAGCTTCTGACTGCCCAATACCAACATTGTCTGGTACGGTTTATGTTCTCTGTGCTGAAGCCAAACAGTAAGAAGTGTCCATTTTAAAAACCAGTTAACCACAAATCCCACCAAGACCTCGTCTAAATAAAGTTACTACTTTCCCCCCTTCAGACATAGTTTCTCTGTGTAGTCCTGTGTGTCCTTGAACTCAGAGACTGATCTGCCTCTGCCTCCTGAGTGCTGGGATTAAAGGTGTGTGCCACCATGCTAGGTGAAATTTTCTTTATTTTACCTATCCTCTTGGGCCGGAGTCAGGGTTCAGTAGTATAACACTTACTTAGTATGCACAAGGTTCTGAGTTTGATCTATAGTACGGAAAACAATTACATTCATAAGTTGGTATTCTGCATTTTCTTAGTTTTCTGTATTTGTCTATCTCATACCCATTAATTAAGCCAATCTAAAATAGTTCAGTTAGTGGTAGTGTGTATGTCTACCATGCACAAGGTGCTGGGTATAATTCAGCCGAGCGGTGGGAGTGCTGTTTATCATCCTACAACCCACAGCTCAAAAACCAACCAATCCTAAATTGTTTACTCTTCCTATAAAAACTCTAAAGAGTTGTATATGAATTCCTCATTTCTTTGGGACCAAAACCCTCCAGTCTTCTGTGGTGTGCTCTTTTTCTTACGTAGCATGGATTTACTCTGATGGTATTAACCTCTCTTATCATCACCCAATTAGCTCCCCAAATTCAAAATCCCCTGGGTACAACCGAGACACTTGGTAACAGAATTTTTCTACTTTAAAGTTTATAGTCAAGGTGCTATTAAATTGACATCAGGACTAGGAGCCTTTAGGATACAACTTCATCCAACAGCAGTGTCTTGGATTTTCCTGGAAGTTGTATCACTGAACTTGCAATCTACATCCTGCTCCCAAGTTATAAACCCCAAAAATTCATTTTTAAAAACTGGCAATTAGACAGCCTGGTCTCCAGATTGAGTTCTAGGACAGCTATAGATGTTACACAGAGAAACCCTGTCTTGGAAAAAAGCAAAACAAAACAAAATAAAAAACAAACTGGCAATTTGAGAACTTAAGCAATATAATGAGTAAGTATAACCAAGGTACTTCATAAAAGCCTACTTAAGTGCAAATTATGTATAGCAATATACTCAAACCACAGAATTTAGGACACACCTCTGAAAAACAGCAGAAACATATATGAAATCTGATGCTTGCTTAACATGTGCAAGGGAGGGGTAAGGACACATAAATATCACTTTAGAATAGAGTTCTTTCATTGAGACGTCTAAAAGATTTCTGGGTTTGAATGAGAAATGTCTCCCATAGTCTCTGGCATTTGAAAGAGTGGTCCCAATTGCTGGCCTGTTAAAGGAGGTTTAGGAAGGTGTGGCTTTGTTGGAGGAAGTGTGCTGCTGAGAATGTTTTTAAATTCATTTTTACTTTTCTATATAGGCCTGTGTTTCTATGTGTATGTGCATGAGTGCAGTTGTCAAGGGGCTGAACTGACAGGTGGCTGTGAGCCACTTATGTGTGTGCTGGGAACAGAACTCTGGTCCTCTGCAAGAGCAGTACTTGCTAAGCCGTCACTCTAGCCCCTAAGCCTGCATTTTGAGAGCTTAAAGACTTGTACCATTTCAGTCTGCTTTCTCTGCTTCTTGTTTGTGGTTTGAGATGTGAACCTTCAGCTTCCAGCCCCAGTGGCCATGTCTGCTACCTGTTGCCTCTGCTTTACAATTATAGACTCTAACTCTCTGGAACCATGAGACCCAGCTCAGGCCTTCCTTCAAGTAAACTGCATTGGTTGTTGTGTTTTCTCACAGCAATAAAAAAGAAACTAACACTGGGTATCCCTAACTTGTTTGTCTTATGTATTTTCATCAACGAGGAACTTCCCAGAGATTCTGAACTAAGTTCATTCCATTACTCTATCAGCGAATTAGACTCATTATGGAGGTATATACATACTTTCAGTTGTTTCTATTGCAAATCAGCCACACATTTCAGTGTTATAAATGTAATCATTGGTTATAAGACGTAAATTTGACTTTGAAATTTGTTGGAACATTTCTTACTAAAACAAAGAACTCACAAATGCATCCTGTCAGTCCTAAAAAATAAAATGTCAGACTATATATGCTACCATTTATTTTGAAACCTGAGATAGACTCAAACAATAAATGCTTTGTTAAAAGTTACTTTTAGGGACTGGTGGTGTCCCCATGGTAAAGTACTTGCCTCATATCCATGAGGTCCTAGGCTCTACCCTAATACTCAAACAAAGCTACTTAGCCATGAAAAGCAGGTTTCATTACTGACCTTATTAAATATAACAGGGTACAAGATGTTCACAGACAGGATAAGCTCCCCTTCTCCAATCATGTCTTCTGGATTTTCAGGCTTTTTCCCAAGTGCATGAGATTCCTGAAGAAAGAAAACGAGACCTTGAAATCAGCTAAGAGATAGTGCAGCACAGAGCCCACAGTGAGGGCTTCAGTCAATCCTGAGTTTGATGTCTAATTCTAAGCGAGGAGAGGTTACTCTCCTAATGCTCAGCTTCACCTATTGAATAGGAGAAAATGCTTTTTTCAGACTTGTTTTTGGGAATATGTATATAACATATGTAATAAGACATCTGGTGCTATATGCTTAGGCACTAATGATAAACAGGAGTGTCAGCTAATACTGTTCTGAATGGCATTTCTCATTACTATTTCTTGTTTACAACCATTAATATGCTTACAAAATTAGTTTTAACAACGAGCTTGGAGGTTCTGCAATCTATTCAGGTTGCAAATATATATATAATCTTTAATATACCATATTCTTTTATATGTGGTTAATAGTTATAAGAGCCACTAAAGTGAAATAGTTAAATGAAAATGCAAGATGTAGCTGGGTGGTGGTGGTGGTGGTGGTGCAAGCCTTTAAACCCAGCACTCAGAAGGCAGAGGCAGGGGGATCTCTGTGAGTTTGAGGCCAGCATGGTCTACGAGAGCTAGTTCCAAGACAGCCTCCAAAGCCACAGAGAAACCCTGTCTCAAAAAACAAACAAACAAACAAAAAGAAAACAAAGAAAGAAAGAAAATGCAAGATGTTTTAAAAATTAGTGGGGAGCTAGGGCTGGAGAGATGGCTTGATGATTAAGAGCGCTTAGTGTTCTTGCCAAGGTCCCAGGGTTAGGTCCCAGCATGAACATGGTGGCAAACAGCCACCTGTAACTCCAGTTCCAGGGAGCGAATGCTCTCTTTTGCCCTCTGTATGTGGTGTACATTCATGCATTCAGGTATACACAAATACATATAAACTACTATATATTCTTGTTTTTTAAAAAGTGGAAGTGGCATCATGCAGAGTAGGAAGCTCTTTAACTGAAGCAGCCACTAGACTGAGAAGATGAAATACATTCCTCTGGAAGTCTGGAAACTGACTGAAGATTCCCACAGGATATTGGAGAGGGGAGAATCTGATTGTATTCTGCAGATAAGCAGTATGTGCAAACCAATACTTCTCCCCATTCCCTCCACCCCACTGCAGATGTGAGATAGCAGCTGAGTTCCCAGAACAGCAGGCTGGTGCCAGGGCAGACAAGCAGAGACCCTGTCCTTAAAATGTGGGGTTAAGGGCCTGGCCAGATGCTTGCCTTGATTGGCCCTGCAGGCAGTACCTGATAGAACCACCTACTGGAACAATTACATAACCTTTCTTTCTTTCTTTCTTTCTTTCTTTCTTTCTTTTGGTTTTTCGAGACAGGGTTTCTCTGTGGCTTTGGAGGCTGTTCTGGAACTAGCTCTTGTAGACCTGGCTGGTCTCAAACTCAGAGATCCGCCTGTCTCTGCCTCCTGAGTGCTGGGTTTAAAGGTGTGTGCCACCACTGCCCGGCTATATAACCTTTCTTAACAGATTCTTTTTTTAATGTTAATTTTTGAAGTCATTTAGGTCACTGACTAAACAATGAGGTAATAGAATAGAACTATCAATGGCCATACACAATTAATAGTCACATAGCAAAACAGTCTGGAAAAGTAAAAAGTGTAACAGCTAGTGTCCAGCTTTCAACAAAAGCACACACATGGAAGAGGAAAATACGGCTCATTTACAGGAAAGAATTTGCAATCATCAGAGTTAAAGAAGTTAATTGGGAAGCCAGGTGTAATGGTGCAGGCCTTTAAACCCAAAACTCAGGAGGTAGAGGCAGGCAGACCTCTAAGTTCTCTCTGACTTCTCTTTGGCCAGCATAGTCTACATAGTGACTTCCAGGACAGCCAGAGCTACTTAGTGTCTTGAAGAAAATTAAGTTAACTAATGAGGGCTGGCAGATGGCTTAGCAGGTAAAGAGTTTGCTGCCAAGCCTGGCAACCTGAGTTCTTGATCCCAGGAACCCATACCGAGAAGGAGAGAACTAGGTTCTCTAAATTGTCCTCTAACCACACACATGCTGTGGCAGGTATATGTATGTACATGTACGTGTAGGGGCGAGCCCCACAAAGGGCAGGGATAAGGAAATTTAGGACAGATGGAGATAAAAGGAAGTGAAAGAGAAACGAATCCCTCTTCTCCTCTCTTCCTCTGGAAGCCTGCCACGCTTCTGACTCCCCAGCCTTTTGTGTGTAAGTTCTTATTCTGGTAAATAAATATATTCCATATTGCATTGACCTCAATCAACATGTACACCCTGCCCGATAGTCTCAATAACTCTCTGAATAAACATAAAAATGTCTTAATATGGTAATTATTCCTAGAAGCAAATTCTAGACTCACATATAAATAAAAGCCTATTGAATAAAAGCAAATAAAATAGGATGCTAAGTCAGCTGTCATAAATATGGTCAATGAACTAATAGAATCCAATTAAGTACAGAAAATGAGGTTCCTCAACTGATTTAACAGCAGATTTCTCATCAGAAAACAAGACAAGAAACAAGTCAGATGACACACTTGAAACCACAAAAGAAAACAGTTACCCAAAATTCTACACCTAGCAAAACTGTCCATTAGGGATGAAGGAAGACAAATACACTGGGGATACACAGTAGCTGAGGAAGCACCAGCCACAGCAGAAGTTGTTCAGTTGAAGTGAAAGGGTAATGACTTGAAGCCACAAACAAAATAACCACTAAGAAGATACTTTCAATGCATGCAGAAAAGGAAGGAGGTGGGAATCAATTGAAACAACAAAAATCAATATCTAAAGTAAGGAAATAATGGGAGAACAGAGGAACAAAGACACCTAAAGAGTCTAATAACAGAAGTGCATTCTTTCCAGTAACTAGTGTACCTGTAAATGGATGACATTCTCCTATTGAAAGGGCAGAGCAGGCTGCTGGGCAGTGGTGGCGCATGCCTTTAATCCCAGCACTCGGGAGGCAGAGGCAGGTGGATCTCTGTGAGTTTGAGTCCAGCCTGGTCTCCAGAACGAGTTCCAGGACAGCCTCCAAAGCAATACAGAGAAATCCTGTCTCGAAAAAACAAACAACAACAACAACAAAAGGGCAGGCTGACAGACTGGATCACAAAAACTCCTTTTAGATACTGAGACATAAACAAGTAAAAAAGTACAAGATATTCCATGTAAATCATAAATAAAACTGTTGGAAGCTGTTTTACTGTCAAACAAGTCAGAGTTTAAGAAAGATTATGAGACAGTGACAAAGGTATTATAGTTGATAAAATGTGTCACACAGCAGGGAGACACAGTTACAAACATATAGAGAGAAAAAGGATCCCAAAATATATGCAAAAAAACTGATAGAGTTTTAAAAACCCTAGACTTGGATATGTTTCTTACAGTAATGAACTCAATAGGCAGTGGAAGAATGGGACACTAAGAACAAAGGCTAACATTAACATAAACACGAAGAACTCTCCAGCCAACAGTAGCCTTCTCAAGTGCGCACAAACCATTCTGTAGGACAGACCACCAACTAGGCTGAAAGAAACTAAAGTTACACAAAGTAGTTCTAATCACCAGTCAATAACACGAGAAATGAGGAACAAGGAAAACCGAGAATTTTAGAAATACAATAGTACAGCCGTACACCGTGGTGTAAGCCTGTTACCCCATCAATGCGGGGACAGGGAGGGCTGATGCAGGAAGGTTCTGAAGTCTGAAGCCAGCCTGGGCTATACAGGGAGACCCTTCTCAAAACAAACCAGTGGGTTCAGGAGTAACAGTATGTACTGCTCTTGCAGAGGAACTGAGTGTGGGTTGCAGCACCTACACAGGGTACTTCACAACTGCCTATGAATCTAGCTTCAGGGGATCCAATGCCCTCTTCTGGCCTCCATGGGCACTGCACTCATGTTCACAAATCCAAACTCAGGCACATACATGCACATATATGAAAACAACACAAAACAAGAGACCCACTTATGAAACCCACAGGATAAAATATACAAGGAAAGTTAGACAACAGAGGGAGACAGTGAAAACACAACATACCGAATACACTTCAGAGAAACGAAAAACAACCTTAAAAATTTAGCTGTGGTAAAAAGCTAAAAAAGGAGAACAAACTAATTCCAGAGTTAGCAGAAAAAGGGAAATAATATGCTGGGCAGATCTCTGTGAGTTCCAGGACAGCCAGGGCTACACAGAGAAACCCTGTCTCAAAAAACCAAGAAGGAAATAATATAAGGTGCAGAAAACAAAATAGAAAACTTAAGCAATCCTGCCACTGTGAATCTGTGGAGAGCTTTCAAGATGGTGTAGTGGATGAGGACACTGTGAAGACTGACAACCTCACTGCTGCACACCAACACCAGCTACGCAGAAGCTGCAGCTAGAAGGTGCCCCCCCCAAAAGTCCATTCTGTGTTAAAGTATTTGGCGTTAGGTATCTTAGGGCAACTTTATTTTTTGTCATACGTGATCAAACCAAGATGGTATTCTAGTGAGACACCCATCCCCTAGCACTGGGGATCTGAGTCATGGCCTTGTGCAATGCAGGCTAGCACTCTCCTTGACTAAATCTATCTCTACTCACTTCCTGACTGCTCACAAAAGGGACTATGTGGCCCTTCACACTGGGAGACCACTTAGTGTTTCTGGCTTCCTAGAAAGAAATTAAGAAAGGATTGGGAGGGAGGGAGGCAGGGAGGGAGGAATGCTTATACCACCAAATTAGCCACATGAAACTCATCTTGTTACTTTTCTGAAGTTGCTATTTCTAAGGTATCTTCTCATCATGCTTTGTATCAGCCAGTGCGAGAGAAACCTTGACTAGCTTCTGTGTAATACAATTTTATATTATTTTGAGGGTTAGTGGGTTGGCACACACCTTTGATCCCAGCACCAAGGAGGCAGATGTGGGCAGATCTCTCAGTTCAAGACCAGCCTGCTCTACATGGTGTAGAGCAAGCTCCAGGCTCGCCAGAACTACACAGTGGGCACAGTGAGACTCTGAGGTCTCTATAAGACACACACACACACACACACACACACACACACACACACACACACACACTTTTAAGACTGTTTTTGGGGGACAGGAGTGCCTTGTACCCCACCTGTGGGCTGGTGCACTGCTATGTACGAAAGAATGAAGATTAACCCTCATTGTACATCACATAGTAAATAAACTCAAGAGGGGCTGCAAAGATGGTTCAGCAGTTAAGAGCATTTACTTTTTTAATAGGACCTGGGTTTGGTTCCCAAAATTCACACAGGGTTCACACCATCTTTAATTCTGGTTCCAGGGGATCTAGGACCCTTTCTGGTCTCCATGGGCACCAGGCACACAGGTGTTATACAGATCTACATGCAGGCAAAAATCCAAACATACACAAAATCAACTTTTTTTTAGTTAAAAAAAAAATCAGAATGAATCAAGGCCAAGCCTACAAGCTAAAACTCTAACCCTCTGCAGACAAAGAGGACAATCTTCATGGTACTGGGTTAGGCTAATATTTCTTAAGTATGCCCAAAGTCAGAGAACAAAATACAACAACAAATGAATATTCTTGATCTCATCAAATTTTAAAACCTGACAACATCAAAAGAGTAAAAAAGATAATCCACAGAATTAGAGAAAATATTTTCAAATCACAAATATGGTAAAGCTTTGGCATCCAGAACATCCAGTCATGAGACAATATACTCTAATTGGTAAAGAATTAGATATTTTTTCAAAGAAAATATACAAGACCAATACTTAAATTAAAAAATGCTTAACATCATTAGCCGTTAGGAAGAACAAATCAAAATTATAAAACAAGATAACCACTAGGGTGGTTACTCTAAACAAACTATGAATTGAAAAGGATCGTAAGAAACTGAAGCTTCATGAATTACTAGTGGGAACACAGAGTGCAGCTTTTTATGGAAGACAGTAAAGTAAATACAGAATCATCACACATACATAAAATTTCAGACAGAGGCATCATAGTGCCTGGCAATCCACCTCAGGCGTGTCACAAAAAGAACTGAAAATAGATCCCAAACACTTATACTCCAGTATTCACAGTAATCATAATTCACAATAACCAACAGGTGGGAACAACTTCAAAGCTAACAGCATGTTAACAAATAACATGTGGTGTATCCTTGTAACAAAAGATTTCACTCCGCCACAGGAAGGAATGAAGTTCTAACATATGCTACAATACAAACCATACCAAAAGAAAAATATTGTATAAATTCTGCTTATGTGAATAAGACACACAGAGCAGCAATTTCAAATAGATCAGGGTTACCAGGTAAAGGAGAGTAAGTCATTTCTTACTGACACAGGATTTTTGTTTGGCTCTGGAAATGAGGATCAGTAAACATTCTGAATGTACACTTCCCCAACCCCCAGCTTTTTGGCTTTTGGAGACAGGGTTTCTCTGGCTGTTCTGGAATTTGCACTGACCAGGTTGGCCTCGAACTCACTAACATCCACCTGTCTCTGCCTCCCGGAGTACTGGGATTAAAGGCATGTACCAAGACCAACCGGCTTTTGGATTGGGGGGGGGGTTCAAGACAGTTTCTCTGTGTAACCTGTGTAGCTAACATTCTTGGCTTGAACCCTTGAAATAGACAAAAATGTTTTCATTTTATTAATTTCTAACATTTTAAATTTCCATTTGTGTGTATTCATTGTATATGATCCTGAGTTTCACCGGGCTATTTTCAACCAAGTTATTAATGTATAATGTACTTTGAGTGTATTCCACCCCATGTCCTACCCCAAGGCTTTGCTATGTTGACAAGGCTAGAGTGGAACTCACAGGGCCCCTTCCGGTCTGTCTTCAGAGTGCTGAGATTACAGGGAAACACAACCATACCCAGCCAAAATGGTATTTTGTTATATAATTCTACCACAGTAGAAAAGGTGGAAGACAGCAGCTACCCTTATACACTACCGCTGTGAAGAGACACCATGACCATGGCACTCTCATAAAGGAAAACAGTTAACTGGGTGACTTGCTTACAGTTCAGAGGGTCAGTCCATTACCATCATGGAAGGACGATGGTGTGTAGGCAGACATGGTACTTGGTTGCAGGCAGCAGGAAATGGTCTGTCTCACTGGGTGTGGCTTGAGCATATATGACACTTCCAAGCCTGCTTCTACAGTGACATACTTCCTCCAACAAGACCGCAACTGTTCCAACAAGGTCACAGCTAATAATGCCACTCTCTTTGGGGACTGTTTTCTTTCAAACTATCACATTTCACTTTGTCTTAAGAGTTTCATGCATGAAGCAATGGACAAGAATATGGTTTTAAAAATTGGTTGTGGTGGTATATGCCTTTAATGCCAGTACTCAGGGCACGTCAATCTGAGAATTCAAGACTAGCCTCATCTACATAGCAAGTTCCAGAATCTGTTCCCTTCCCAAAAGAATATGGTTAAAGTAAAATCAGGAGAACAGAAACGTTCCAGGAACAGAGAAGTAAACAGGTAGATTTGATCAGCTGCCAACAGTAAGAACAAAATAAAAGCAAAGTCAGCCAGAGATGCCACGTGGTGGTGGAGCACGCCTTTAAGCCCAAGGTTGGGAGGCAGAAACAGGCGGATCTCTGTGAGTTTGAGGCCAGCCTGGTCTACAGAGTGAGTTCCAGGATAGCCTCCAAAGCTACAGAGAAATCCTGTCTCCAAGAACCAAAAAAAAAAAAAGAGTCAGCCAGAGAGCTGGAGTCAAGTGTGGTCCTTCAGTTCCATGAGTAATGCTCTCCAACCAGCTCTCAGTAACAGTCAATGGCCCACTCTGCTTACTGTTTCAGAGCAGAGAGGAGTGGAAAGGTGAGACTTACCATTTCATAGACAAATGTTTCTTGTCTACAGGCGCGGTCTATCGTGATGTTTTCTTCCCGATAGTCCAAGAGCCCCTTCCTAACACTGACATGGACACATGAAAACAAAATGGTCAGCATGCTTGCCTGAATATTTAAAATAACTTTTTAAAAAAGATTTATTTATTTATGATGCATATAGTATTCTGCCTGCATGTATGTCTGTGGGCCAGAAGAGGGCACCAGATCTCATTACAGATGGTTGTGAGCCACCATGTGGTTGCTGGGAATTGAACTCAGGACCTTTGGAAGAGAAGTCAGTGCTCTTAACCTCTGAGCCATCTCTCCAGCCCTTAAAATAACTTTTAAAGACTTTTATTTGTGTGTGTGACTTCATGTGTGTCTGTGCATGTGTGCACCTGGTTTCCACAGAGGGGAGAAGAGGACATCAGATCCCTCACAACTAGAATTATAGTTCTGTGAGCTCCTATGTAGGTACCAGGAACTGAACCCAGATCCTCTGGAAGAGCAGCATGTGTTTCTAACCACTGAGTCATCTCTAGGCCTTAACATATCTTTAATATTTAATGTTTTTTTGTAGGGATAAGAATCAAACCCAAAATTTTACTTATGCCAGGCAAGAACTCTACTCCTGAGTTCCACTATCCAACTCTAACCATACAACTTATTTTAAAACTACTTTTAGACTTAAATAAAAAAATATTTATACCCCTTATATCTCTCCCCACAGCTTCCTCCTCCCAGGATCCTTTGGGATCACAAAATCACAAACAGTAATTTTATTCTCTACTATTATTTTGCTGCTCAAATTGTTCTAGCGTTAGTCAGAAGGAATCCAAACATTCAACAGGCTCTGATCTTTTGTTATTTTGGGTAGGGGAGGAAGGTGTGCATTCCTTGGTTTGTGGAACCATGGGTATTCAAAACTCATTCTCTACTTTTCCTATCCAAATCCTGGCATTAATCCTTCTAGGAACCGGAGTTTCTTTCTTGGAGAGGGGTTTTTACTTTAAATAAGTCTCATGTCCCCAGTCTTCTCTTGAACTTACAGTAGGGACGCCCCTGCACTCTGGACCCTCTTGCCTCCACCTTCCAAGTGTTGGTCATAGATTACACACCATCATGCCCAGCTTGGGAGACAAGTTTAGAAGTCAGCATCTAGACACAGAGTTTTGATTACCAGAGTTACTGCTGCTAAGCCTTTCAGCTGAGACAGGCTAAGTCATGTATGTCTATTAACCCATGCATGTACAGACATCTATACATTCTGTGCCTGTTATATATTAAAAATCCTAAATTTACAAGGATACTTTTATGTGCATGTGGTACACACGTGTGTGTAGATATGCATATGTATATGGAGGTCAAAGGTAGACACTAAACATCATGTTCCTTTATTTTAATTAATTAATTATTGTGACTGAGTCTTACTATATAGCCCTGCTAATCTGGAACTTGTAGACCATGCTGGCCTTAAACTTAGAGATCCACCTACCTCTACCTTCTCAGTGCTACAATTAAAGGTATACACCACCATATCGGGTTCCACCTTATTATTTTTCAAATTATTACTACTTTATTTTACGTGTACAGACCATTTGCCTACATGTCAGTTTGTGTACCATAAGTGCCTGGTGCTCATGGAAGAGAACATCAGATCTCCTGGAAATGGAATTACAGACGGCATGAACCACCATGTTGGCTCTAGGACTTGAACCCAGGTCCTCTAGAAAAGCAGCCAGTGTTCTTAGTGCTTGAGCCACCTCTCTAGTGTACCCTGGGGCTCCCCTGCACTGCCTCCTTTAAAGGGGTTAGGGGTCCAATTCAGTTGTCATGCAAGCACTTTCCTGACTGAGCCATCTCCGAAGCCTTCTATTTGGATACTTCAAATCCCTAAACCAAGCCACAAGACTCATCATAGTGTTCAACTTACTTCTTCTCCCCCCAAGTGAGAAGGATGGCTCTGAGGACTATTTCCTGTTCAAGTTCAGTAATCACACAGATCACTTCCCACGCTGCTGCCCTGCAGTCTGTGATAAACACTAACAAGGGAGTAGATCTGCCTTCAGACTTCTATCAGCACCAGAGTGCAGACTCAGGGTCGTGCTCTGCATCGTCCTTAGTAAAGCACACATACAGGCACATTTGCTTTGTTATAATCCAGTGTGTGTGTAAGCCAAAGACAATCTTTAGTGTTGTACCTCAGTAGTTATCCACACTTTAAATTTTATTTGCTTATTTACTTTGGGTTTTCAAGAGCGTTCCTCTGTGTAACAGCCATGGCTGTCCTAGAACTCTTTCTGTAGACCAGGCTGGCCTCAAACTCAGAGATCCATCCATCTCTGTCTCCCAAGTGCTGAGATTAAAGGCATGCACCACCATTGCCCCACTTAGTTCACTTTTTTGATGGGGGTCTCACTAGACCAGGATAGCCTTACACTCATGGTCTGTCAGCCTCCCAAGTATAGGATTACAGATGTGAGCTACCATATCCAGTTTGCAAAATATTTGCAGTATCTTAAATGCATACTTATAGGAGAGTATTCAACACACTATGGCAAAGCCACACAGTATAATAAATAATGAAGCAATGATGAAGTTTGAAATCAGTGACTTCCAAGACACAGTAGTGAATGAAGAAAGCAAAGTCACATAGCACATGGTAACCTTGGAGGAGAGATAAGCTGGGTACAATCCACTCGTTCGTATCTACAAACATACGTGTTTCTACCTGTTCTGTAAAAATGAACCTTCCCGATTTAAACAGTTTTCTTTTGCCAGCTGGCACTCATTAACTGTAAATAAAGGACAGCGGGGAATCCCTGCATTGTATGTAGCTCATGAGGGAAGGCTTTGCTTCCTGATCTGATATGCCAGCTCAGCAGAGTCCTAAGCGTCCACAGCTCCAGTGTCACTGCCCAGCTTCTGCAGTGCACTGCAGTCCACAGCATCTCGTGCCCAGTGGCTTTCCGCCCCTTTCCCTCAATAGCTTTTCCTGGCACACTCAGGATGGCTTTCCACCACAGTAACATCATGGCCTCTAGATCTTACTCTTGGGGAAGAAAGGCCCTCCTCTGGCATCCTCTGAACCCGAGGGCTAGGAGGCTCCCTACATTCACCCTGTCACACACTCACATTTTCTTTATTGTTTCTGTCTAGGCCTCATTGCTTGTTTTGTCTTTTAAATGAGGGTTTTCCATATAGCCAAGGCTATGCAGGAACTCACTATGTAGTCCAGGAGGTCTTGAATTTACAGTAATCTTCCTGCCTCACTAGCCTAAGTGATGAGATTATAGGTGTGAACTACTATGCCTGGCTATAAAGTTAACAATCCTCTAGATTAAGCTTTCTCCAGTAAAGTGACTGTTCTGTTTTATCTCCTAACTGAACTTGGGACTGCTGAAAGAAATAAAATTGATTTGAGAACTCAAACAGGGTAAACCAAAGCTATGGAGAGAAGTTAGTTGTCTGCAAGGGGTCATTAGGAAGTAAAGGAATGGGAAAGATTAGTAGGGACCAAAAATGTGTGCCATTCTTTTTTTTTTTTAAAGATTTTATTTATTATATATACAGCATTCTCCTTGCATATATGCCTGCAGGCCAGACAGGGTACCAGATCCCATGATAGAAGGTTGTGAGCCACCATGTGGTTGCTAGGAATTGAACTCAGGACCTCTAGAAGAGCAGTCAATGCTCTTAACCTCTGAGCCATCTCTCCAGCCCCAATGTGTGCCATTCTTAACTCTTCATTGCTGTGGTTTTATTTCTCCTTGTTTTAATGCTCTGAGGTAGTCAGACCAAGTCAGTGGTTTCAGTTTTGTTTTGACTTTGGAAGAGGCGTCACAGTGCCTTGTGCACTCAGCAAGGGTTTTGCTACCAAGTACATCTTTATTCTAAGGTCTTTGGACACAAGGTCTAATTTGTAGTCCATGCTTGCCTGGGGCTTGGAGTGACCCACCTCAGTGTTTCAGCAGGACTAGAAGGTGGTCCACATACCCACATTATCTTTCTTAAAAATTTTAACGTAAATTATTGGTTCATATCTCTTCACCTCATTTTCCCATAGGGTGTTTTTGTCCTACACATGGACCCTGTAGTACATACTTGATTCTCCAAATTCACAGGCTATCTTTTGGCATTATTTAGAGTGCTTCTGCCATATAAACATTTTATCAGTCCCTTTTCACTTTCTGTGATTTGAGTCCTGGCTTTACTGCACTCAGATCTCTCTCAAGTTGATCTTACAGTCACTTCCTGCAGTAAATTCTCTTTGAAGTCCCATTTCCTCCTCTGTTTCCGAGTTTAGAAAAGTTCCAATTTAGTGGTGCTTTTTCCTGTCATCCTAGCAGCCTAATGTTTGATTTTTGTTTTTACATTTATTTGCTTGCTGTGTGTAAACTCAAAAGAGTATGTGCTCCTGCTGTGTTGGATGTATGAGGTCAGAAGAGGACTTACGAGGAACAGGTTCTCTTACTTCCACAATATAGGTTCCAGAAAATGAACAATGCATGTTGGTGGCTCAAAATCTACTTTTAAAACACCCTTCCTGGTTTGGCTCTTAGGATGAGAGTTATGGGTCATCTTGCAGAACTCTAACAATTTCTTCTCATCCTTTAAATAGTACATGTTGGTTGGAGCAGTAATCAGTGCTTTCTTGGCCATACCAGTGAGGTGTGAGAAACAGATTTTACCATTAGCATACATAGTACTAACAACTCCCTCTCTGATTTCATGTTTTAAGTGGTTAAAAATTTAAATACTAGGAGGTGGAAAAATGGCTCAGCAGTTAAAAGCACTGGCTGATCTTCCAGAGAACCCAGATTCAATTCCCAGCACCCACACGGTAGCTCACAACTGTCTGTACTACAATTCCAGGGCATCTGGCACCCTCACACAGACATAAACTCAGCATAAAAATAAATAAATCTGAGCCGGGCGTTGGTGGTACACGCCTTTAATCCCAGCACTCGGGAGGCAGAGGCAGGCGGATCTCTGTGAGTTCGAGGCCAGCCTGGTCTACAAGAGCTCGTTCCAGGACAGCCTCCAAAGCCACAGAGAAACCCTGTCTCGAAAAACCAAAAAATAAAAAAATAAAAAAAATAAATCTAACTGAGCAATGGTGGTACACACCTTTAATCCTAGTACTTGTAGGCAGAGGCAGGTGATTCTCTGTGAGTTCAAGGTCAGCCTGGTCTACAGAGTGAGATCCAGGACAGGGTCCAAAGCTACCCAGAGAAACCCTGCCTCGAAAAAGAAAGGGAAGCAGAGTGGCAGGAACTTACAGTTAAGGATCTTAGATTTCTTCTTTAAATAGATAGCCTGGACCCAGGTTGGCCCTGACTTTCTGGCAATCCTCATTTCTCTGTCTCTCAAATATTGGGATTACAAATGTGAGTCACCACTCTGGCTAGGTCTTTGTTTTTATTTTTTTTAAGTTTAATGACAGAAGAAAGGAAGCCTTAGAGAAAGACAAGCATAGAGCTAGATTTAGGCTTTTTCAAAAAGTTCAACATCTGACAAGATTATTAAGATTAATGTGTGAGCCTGGCACTGGTATTGCACACCTTTGAGCTGTTACAGAGAAACCCTGTCTTGAAAAACAAAAATAAATAAAAACAAACAAAACAACTGGTGCTTGTGTCTTTTTTTTTTTTTTTTTTAACCTCATATAGCCCTGGATGGCCTGGAACTCACTATGTAGACCAGGCTGGCCTCAAACTAGCAGAGATCTGCCTGCATCCACTCCCCTGGGATTAAGGGTATATGCCACCATTCCTAAAAACAACTGGTTCTTTTTTTTTTTTTTTTTTTGGTTTTTACGAGACAGGGTTTCTCTGGATTGTTTTGGAGGCTATCGGTCCAGCCCGGCCTCTAACTCACAGAGATCCGCCTGCCTCTGCCTCCCGAGTGCTGGGATTAAAGGCGTGCGCCACCACCGCCCGGCCAACAACTGGTTCTTTACAACCAGTATTTCTGAGTATTTAGCTTAAACTCTCAAAATCTAAGTAGATTAAGTATACAATAAAAATAGTGAAAATTTGAATATGTATTGGATACTAGAGGTTTTGTGTTTTTAATTTTTTTTTTAGATGTAAGAATATCATTCTGGGGGGCTGGAGAGATGGCTCAGAGGTTAAGAGCACTGGTTGCTCTTCCAGAGGTCCTGAGTTCAATTCCCAGCATCCACATAGTGGCTCACAACCGTCTATAATGAGATTTGGTGCCCTCTTCTAACATGAAGGTAGAATAATGTATATAAATAAGCAAATAAATAAATAAATAAATATAAAAAAGAATATCACCCTGACTATGCAAAATGGCACTTTTGGAGTTACAAACTGATGTACAGATGGAAACACACACAATTGTGCTCCATTCTCACAGAGTTAAAGCAAGGCAGTCCAAATGTTTTTTTTTTTTAAATCAATCATTGTTGAATTCACTATGTAACGGAGACTGGCCTCTAACTTGCATTAATCTTCCTGACTCAGCTTCCTGAGTGCTGGAATTACAGCCTCGAGCCAGGACAAACTCAATGGTTGAATTTAAGTGGTGGGAATGTGGAGAATAATACTATACTTCCCAAAATAGAATATTCAAGAGGTATTCAGATAAATAGCAGAAAGGCTAACGGTGTAGTTTAGGAGAAGGTCCTGCTTCACCGCAGCACCAAAACAAATAGCAGATAACAAAACAAAATCATACCATAAAGTCACTAGGTCAGTGTTCTCTGGGATGACTTCTGGGTCTTCACCTTCGTCAAGGCATCTCAGTTTATCAAGGCTTAGGAAGAGGGAGGGGTCGGGAGAGAGGAGAAAGGATCAGCCGTGAATTTTTCAACAGCGGGTCAGAGCTTGTCCTGAATACATCACTGAATAATTAAGAAGCCTTATGAAATCCAGCAGGCGGCTCAAAGGAAACCAGAAGACAATGGTTTTTGTGCCAATATGTTATACCGTTCATTTGAGGACAGCCAATACTGTCAAATAGGGGATCACTACAAATAAGTTTTGTATTTCCACCCTCAGGTAAGGTACTTTTGGGGGAACCGAAGACCACTAGAGACTACAGTTAATTGGAGTTTTAACATAGCTCTGATTGTCTCATTCATCCTCACGTACTCCTATTGTCTAAATGTCAATGATAGATATATACCGCTGTTACTCCAACAAGCGCCTTAAAGATCACAGAATAGAAGTCTTTTATGCAACTGTCGAGTCCCGTTACTGGATCCACCCTCATAAACTGTTCTTCTGGACCCTAGCATCTCTTCTGGCCTTCCGGAAAGGGTTAAGGGGGAATGAAGGTTAAATCACTGGCCCTCGCCCGGAAGAGTACCCGAGGAGCACAGGGACGGGGTTGTACCCAGCCGGACCCACGCAGTGCCCCGAGGCTGCGCACTCACCCGCACACGACCCTCAGCTCTGCCGCTGCCTCCAGACTGCAGCCCAGATCCCCGGCCACAGCAGCATCGTCCAAGCCGTTGTCGGACGCCCCTCCGTCCGCCGGCTGCTCGGCTGCCCGCGGCTCGCTCAGCGACAAATCGCGGAGCCCGAGCCGGCCGCGCCACAACTCCCCAAAGGCGCCCACGTGGAACGCGCGGGTGTGCAGCTCCGGAAGCTCGTACTCTGGGAAGCTGCCGTGACTCGCACTAGGGACTGGGTGCTGCGGACAACCCGCACCGCCGCCCAGCGGGTCCTCCGCCATGTCAGCCGAGATCCCTTCCGGCAAAAACTGGCAAGCGAGCGTCGCGGGGCGTGACGGGATTTGTAGTTGCGCGCGGCTCCGGAGCGGCGGGCGGCTGCGCTAGCCAGACCTCAGAAACTACATTTCCCGGCAGGCCGCGGCCACCGCCTGGGCGCGGCTCGTCACTGTGGGCGGGGTTGGGTGCATTGTTCTCTCCGCTTGTCCGAGGGCGGTGCCGCTTGGTGTTTTCATGGTGGAATCACAGTTAACTAAAGACTTACTGGGGGCTCTCTCACACTTTCCTCAGCCCCGGTTCGTGGGGGAGGGACTTTTGCCCACTGGTGTTGTGAGTTGTGCTGCTGCCCTCCAGTCCTAGAGGGCTAGGACCAGGGACACTGAGACCGGTTCGATCAGAACCTTCGGTGCCTTTCTGTATATATGCATAATAATGCTTGTGGAACGTCGGCTGTGCACCACACACCGTTCATTCTTAGTTATGATGTATATTTTTAAAAACTTGACCACTTTTCCAGAGAGAGGGATTCGTATGTGACTGTTAAAGGGATAAACCGGTGAACTAACAAATAGAAGTAGCTTGAAACTCAGTGGGTCTAGAAACTCAGGAAGCTTTTGCCTTGTCTCAGGTGTCTCAAGGATCCAAACAGGGTGTGAGGTACAAGCCCTGGCTTGTGTGGTTGTCATGTGGCACATACTGTATAATTCATCCGTTGAAGCTATTCTTTCGGTGACTTTTAGAATATTCACAGTTGAGCAACGATTAGTTTGAGCGTTTTACCACTCAGGAAAAGGAAGTCTGTTGCTTTTAACTATGACTCCCAATCCTTCCAGTTTCAGCCAACAACTTAAAAGGCTTTGCATCTGTGAAGGTTTGGTATCTGGGCTTTTGGAAATAGGCTCTCACTATGTAAACCAGGCTAGCCTTGAATTTATAGCAGCCAGCCTGTCCCAGCCTTCTGAATCCTGGGATTAAAGGTGTGTGCCACCACACCCAACTTGTATTTTGTATTTAATATATAAATATATATGGCCATTTGTAACTGGTTTCGGTAGTATTGCACAATATTTCCACTTTGTATGAAGTTTCGGTACTTTATTCCTTTTTTGGGCTGAATTAAATCGCAGAGCATGGACGTTACACTTTTTTTTTTTTTTTTTTTTTTTGGTTTTTATGAGACAGGGTTTCTCTGTATTGTTTTGGAGGCTGTCGGTCCAGCCCGGCCTCGAACTCACAGAGATCCACCTGCCTCTGCCTCCCGAGTGCTGGGATTAAAGGCGTGCGCCACCACTGCCCGGCTGGATGTTACACTTTTTATTCACTGAAACTGTCATTGGGTGCACTGGGATGTGGCTCGGCTGACTAGAATTTTTGGCTCACGTGCATGAAACCCTGTGATCAGTCCTTAGCACCATAAAGACCCAGTGCTAATCCCGAAATCCCAGGTAGAGACAGGAGGATCAGAGGTCATTTGCGTGTATATAGTGAATTGAAGTAAGCCTGGGATACCCTGTCTCTAACAACAGCGGGGGCTGGAGAGACGGCTAAGGGGTTAAAGAACTCTTAGTACAGTTCTAGAGGGCTCTGGTTCAGTTCTCAGCACCCACACAGCGGCTCTCAACCACCTAAAACTACAGTTTCAGGGCATTCAATGCCCTCTTCTGGTATCCTTGGGCACCAGGCATGCAAGTAGTGCATACATGTTACATACAGGCAAAACATGCAGACACATTAAAAAAAAGAAAAAGAAATGCCAGGCCAAAATAATAGGAAACAAGTGCCATTAAAACAACAAGGGGGTAGAGAGATGGTTCAAGGGTTAAGAATACTTGCTACTTGCTTCCAGCTAGGTGGTGGTGCTGCAGATCTTTAATCCCAGCAATCGGGAGGGAGGGGTAGGTGGATCTCTGTGAGTTTCCAGGCCTGGTCTACAGAGCTCATTCCAGGACATCTAGGGCCGTTACACATAGAAACCCTGACTTGAAACGCCCCCACCAAAAAAAAAATTGGCTGCTCTTCCAGAAGACCCTGGTTCAATTCCCAGCACCCATGTTTAGCCCACAATCCCCTGTAATTCCAGTTTCAGGGTATTCTGATACTAATGTTCTCTTTTGTCCTTTGAAGGCACCAGGCACACACCTAGTTTAGGAAAAAACCCACATACACATAAATCTCAAAACAAAACAAAAAATAAGAAAGAAATGTCATTGGAAGATGACATTTGTCTTCTAAGTTATAATAATGATATATACAAGATTTCACAAAACACACTTTCATTTCTCCTGAATCTATAGCTAGGAGTGTATTTATAATAATGATAATGAAGGATTATTATGAGGAAGGTCCTACTTTTCTCTAGTCTTGAACCAACTACAGTTTCAGTGTTATCAGGGAAATTGGAGTTCCTTTTTTGGGGTCTCATCAATAAAAGAATTAAAAATAAAAAAAGTCGGGCTTTGTAGTCCATGCCTTTAATCCCAGCACTTGGCAGGCAGAGGCAAGAGGATCTTTATGAGTTCCAGGCTAGCCTGGTCTACATAGTGAGATCCTGTCTGAAATTAAATAAATAAATATTAAAACAGACCAGAAGGAAGTTTGAGGACAGTTTTATTAGAGTTTAAGAAAGAGAACAACAGGCTGGGTGTTGGTGGCTCACACCTTTAATCCCAGCACTTGGGAGGCAGAGGCAGGCGGATCTCTGTGAGTTCGAGACCAGCCTGGACTACCAAGCGAGTTCCAGGACAGCCTCCAAAGCCACAGAGAAACCGTCTCGAAAAGCCAAAAAAAAAAAAAAAAAAAAAAAAAAAAAAGAACAACAACAGCGCAGGCAACCTAAGTCTCAGCAGCTTCCAGAAGAATAAGATAGAAAAGAAAGAACGTCTTGCTTTTTGAGTTAAACAGGGAGGTTGGACAAGGAGCAATATGGCAGAAGCTGGGGCATGGACTGCTTCAGGAGGAAAACAAAAATGCCTAGGGCATCAGGGGAAATATGCCCAGGTTTTCACAAGTATATGAAAAAAGGAAAAAAGAAAAGGAAAGAAAAGGCGTATAAAGTGAGGACAAGGCCCCTCCAAAGGTAAGTTTGAGGAGAAGGTTCTTATAGATAGGAAGCAGAGTACAGCCAGAAGCATCTTGAAGGTTCCAGAGCAGGGAGAGAAAGTAGTAGACTAAACATGGCCAGCAGACTGATCCATGAGAAGAGAGAGAATGTACTGGCTACTTTTATGTCAAGTTGACAAAAGCTAGGGTCATCAGATGACCCTCAACAGAGAAAATGGCAGTAGGCAAGCCTGTAGAGCATTTTCCTAATTGTTGATCAATGGGGAGGGCCCACCCCATTGTGGGTGGGCCCGTCTCTGGGCTGCTGGTTCTGGGTTCTATAAGAAAGCAGGCTGAGCAAGCCATGGGGAGCAAGTCAGTAGCAGCACCCCTCCATGGCCTCTGCATCAACTTTTGCCTCCAGGTTCCTGCCCTGCTTGAGTTCCTGTCCTGTCTTCCTTCAATGATGACCTGTGATGTGGAAGTGTAAGACAAATAAACTCCTTACTCTCCAAGTTGCTTTGGTCATGTTTCATCACAGCAAAAGTGATCCTAAGTAAAACTTGTAACACACACACACAAAAAAACCCAGAGACAGATATTGGGCTTCAAGTTTCAAGCTGAAGATCAGAAAAGCAGCAGGCCACCAGCTCTAACCTCTACCCCAGGCTGAAAGAGCTGATCCTGTCTCCACAAGCTCTCCACCAAGCCTCTGACTCTGCCTCTCCTCAGCCTGGCTGAAGAATAATTCTGAGACTGACTATTGAAGACCCTGCTAGTGCTGGGATTAAAGGCCTGAGCTCTTTTAGACTGATTCAATCTCGTGTAGCCCTGGGTGGCCTTGAACTCACAGGGGTCCATCTGCCTTCGTATTCTGAGTCCTGGGATTAAAGGTGTGTGATACCACTGCCTGGCTTCTATGGCTAACTAATATGGCTGCTTTGCTATTTGATCTCCAGTGGCTTTAATAAACCATAAACAACATATGACTACAATGACAGATAGGGAGAATGAAAAAGGAAGAGAAGAGATTATGGGCACGAGGCAGAAATGGCAGGGTTATATAGGAACAAGAAGCCCACGAGAAGTTGAGGGTAGGGATCAGGATGAGAAGCACTAGGATGCCAGCATGAACTCTGTAACAGACACTTGCCCTGCTGAGAGAGCCTGGAGGTCAGCATGCCCTTCAGGATGCTAATAGGCACCATAGTTAGCCATTTGTCTGAGTTTCTTTTGGACCAGACAGAAGGAAGTCCCTGGTTTAAGTGTGAACTGATCCAGTTGGAATTTAGCTGGCCTAGCTGGAGCAATCACCACCACCTTTTGTTCTTCATGTCTTGTTTTTTTTGGATGGGCCTATTTTCTAGTCCTTCCTGGAGCTAACCTGACTAACAGGATCAAGTTGGCAAATGCTTTCCCAAAATAGCTACCGAATTTCAAACTGCCCTTCGTGATTCCAATTTCCACATTCTCTCCAACATGTCACCATCTGAATGCATTATCTCCATCTCAGCTAGTGTGAGATGATATCTCATTGTACTTTTCATTTGCATTTCCCTGATGGCTAATGACACTCACTGAGCATGGTTATCATCAGGGAGGAGGCACGCAATGCCTGCTGTGGAATATTACTTTAACTATGCAAAGATGCGTTACACTTGTTTATGCCATGGAATATTACTTTAGCTATGTGAAGTGTGCTATATTTGTTTCTGCTGCCTTTGTTAGTGATTTAAAGATACATTACCTTTGTTTATGCTGCATCTATTTAATTATGTAGAGACGTGTTCCATTTGCTTCACCTTGCCTGCCTAAGGCAGCTAATTGGTCTAATAAAAAGCTGAACAGCCAGTAGCTAGGCAGGAGAGGAGTAGGTGGGGCAGAGAGAATAAATAGGAGAAATCTAGGAGAGAGACAGAGAGAACACTGTAGAGTGTTGTCTTCCTGCCAGCCTGGTTCCAGAGCAGCATCAGTCCCAAATGAACACACAGGAGGATATATTAACTATTACGCTGTTGGCCGTTTGCTTGGTTTCTTACTGGCTATCTCTGACTTAAGTATTTAACCCATACTTGTTAATCTAAGTATTTCTCTTACCGAAGAAAGGGTCCGGACCTCTTCCTCCTCTGGTGGCTACATGGTGTGTCTGCCTGTGTCTCTCCCAGAATCCTCCTGGACTCCTAGTCCCACCTATCTTGCTTCCCTATTGGCCAACAGTGCTTTATTGACATATACACAGGACTTCCCCATCAGAACATGAACAAAAAAAAAGTGAAAGAGAGTGTCCTGGGGCCAGAAGCCAGGCAGCTACCTGCCAGCAATGG